CCTCTCCCCCCGCCCCCCCCCACTCCAGCACAGAAATAAAAGATCCTTGGGTCCTCACTTTGAGCCCATCCTGCTGTGGGTACACCTCTTGGTGTTTGCATGTGAGGTGTGCACCTGTTACGCATGCATGCATGTGTTGTGTGCCTATGTAGTGTGTGCATGTGTGCAGTATGGCATAAATGTATGCCATGTGCAAGGTGTGCATGTGTATAGCGTGAGGATCATGTGCAGTGTAGGTGTGAACGTGTGTAGTGTGTGAGGTGTGCATGTGTGTAGTGTGAATGTCTGCACATGTGTGCATGTGCAGTGCATGCACGTGTGATGTGACTGCACGTGGTGTGTGGTGAGGGAGGTGGGGAAGGTCAGCAGGGGTGATTCAGGTTTAAAAGTTGTGGAGCGGCCCAGGCGAGTGGGATCGATGATGGAGGGACCTGGCCCAGGCTGTAGACTTGGGGAACAGGTCTTTGGGGGCACTGTCTGAGCTCTGGTGGGCCAAGGCAAACAGGGTAGTCTGTGGGGCAGAGAGACTCCTGGCACTCAATCCAGAATCACTTGGGCAGTTTTGCCCAGCCTTCCCTCAGGTCTCAGAGCAGCAGAGGGCATGGTCTGGACAAGAGCTCCCAGAGGGATCACGGGGCAAGGCTGCCTTACTCACAGGTCCAGGGGTGCAGACCGTTCTTGGAGGGAGGGGAAGCTGCCCACCTGCAAAGTTTGTCCCCTGGGCCCAGTTCTGTAACTCCCACCACACAGGCTAGGACTCATGGCTCTGCTCGCCCTTCAGTGGCCAACAGGGGTATGGCTGCTCCTGTGACCTTGGGGCCCCTGCACTGCCCCCCAGCCTGTGCTGTGGGGAGGCAGACCTTTCCTTCTGCCCCTCCAGCCCCGCCCTGCCCCTGGGGATTTTCACTTATGAAACTTGTCCCTACAGCCCTGTGGCCCCTCTATGTCATGGTCTGGGGGCTGGGTCACTATTCTCAGGGATCCGCTTCCTGGCACGAGGGCAGGCACCTGAGCCTCCGCAGCCGTGGCAAGGAGAAAAGGGAACACGTTACACACAGGCAGCCGTGAAACAGGATTTCATACATAGCCACATACCCCGCAGTGTGTTCTGGCAGTGGCCCCTCATCTGCATACCCAAAACAGCATCATGGAATGCCCCACCAAGTGGCTGCCTGGGCTCACTTCCGTCCCTTATTGTCACCTTGCACTGGTCCCTAGTCAGCCCAAGGGACACAGGGGTGCTAAGGCCCTCTTGTCTTCCCCAGGTGGGAGCACACCTGCTCTCACGGGCTGGGTGCCTGGCTGGCTGGCAGGAGTCCCCAGGCTGCAGACTCACTTGGGGCGGTGCTGAAGGCTGTGGGCCAGTTCCTGATGAGTGGTCTGGGTGGGGCGCTCACCTCCCAGTTGCCTTTAGCAGCTGACCCAGAGGCCAGCAACTTCCTGGTTGCCATCCCAGGAGCAAACCCGTTTCACTCCCTTGGGCGCAGATAGACAGGCAGATAGACACACACCTGGCCTACACCCGGCCACTGGGCTCTTTCAGACAGTGAAGAAATGTTTATTCTGGTTTTATCCTGGTGACTGGGGCAGTCAGGCTGCTTTGGCTGCTTTGGCTGCGGAGCTGGACCCTGTTGCCCGAGCAGCACAGAGCACCATGCTGCCCTCAGGCCTCAGCAAGGCACAGAGGTGAGTCCTGTCAGTGACACCGACTGGTCCAGTGTGAGCACCAGGGGAGAGGTAAGGAGACTGCCCCGCACAGGGGCACAGGCAGCTCCAGTGTGTACTGAAGGGCCCTGACTGACCCTAAGTGCATTCCATGGCCAGTTCCCCGGGACACTCATAGCACAAGCAGTCGGCACATGGGCTGCAAGCACCCCAGGGCACCTGTGAGCAGCTGCTGGCCCCAGCCACCATGTCAGGAGCCCCACTCCCCCCACCACACCACCGAGCCAGATGGGGCCCCTCTAGGCTCTGGGGATGCCTGGGGTTGGAGCTGTCTTAGGTTCCAGCTGTTGCCTGAAGCCACCCCAGGGCTCACGCCCTGAGCTCTGTGACTCCTGGGGATGGTGCCCAGATCTACACAGGAAGGGAAGGAACTTCTGCAGGATGAGGCAGGGCAGCACGTCCCCAGAGATGCCCTGGCTTTTCCCACCATGATGGCCTCTGACCTGGCCACAGGTACAGATGGGTGCTGCCAGAGTACTCTGTCCGAGTGGCCCAGGAAGACCTCCATGAAGGCAGCCTGCCACGAGCAGTACCAGCTGGGGTGCAGAGTGAGACCTTGTGTGGGGACCTGGGAGACATGGGGCGCTGGGCAGGAGGAAAGGAGCCCTGGGTATCCCCTCGCCCACGTATGTCCCTGGTAAGACCACAGTTCCCCAGTGGAGACCACCATAGGGGGCAGGAGTGGGAAAGCCAGCATGGAGGCCCAGGGATGGGCTGGCTTCCTGGATGGCTAATGTCAGCAGGCAAAGTCTCTTCTCTCTCACAGGGTCTGGTTGATGCATGTTTACGCCTCACTCAGGTACCGCAGCCGGGAGAATCGGTCTCTGACAGCCTGGTCACTGTCTGGCCCTCTCTCACCCAGGTGGACTACCCTGCTGCTGGGGACAAGGTCTCGCACTTTGTGCTTGATCACAGAGACCAGACCAGGTGTGTCCGAGCTGGCTGGGCCCATGAGGAGGACGAGGGCGGCATGGCGGCTTGGCTCAAACAGGACCACTGCGGGGACACAGCTGTCAGGGTCACCTGGGATTAGCCAGAAAGGACCTCCCGGCAGGAGCCCCAGCCCCGGGCCAAGCCAAGCTCACCGTCAAAGGCAATGATGGGGGTGGAGATGCTGGTCAGCTCCAGCAGCACGTGGGGCAAGGAGGGGTGGAACATGTACAGGCTATGCTGGGCGCCCCTGGCCTCCTGGAGTGAGAACCAACCATGGACCCAGCCCTTAAGGAGCTTGGCCACAGTCCTGCCCATGTTAGCCCTGGACCAGTGCTGGCTTTGGCCATTATCCTGGCAATGTCAGGCTGCTGCCACAGGACGCTGCCACTGGAGTGACCACACTGGGAGCTCTGTGCCACCAGAGGACCCACCCAGGTCTTGCCAGATGCCAGCCCCTGTTCTGCGCCCACCTCCAGTCCCTCTCCCCTTCCTGGTCCTGACCCTGGTCCCTGTGGGAGTCCACCCCCCATCAGTGCACTGCCCGGCTGCATGGCAGGTCTCCCATGCTGTTCTCCAGGAAGCCCCCATGCCACTTCCCTCATCTCAAACCACCCTTCCTGACCGACTCGCTCAGCCCTAAAGACTTTCTGGGCACTTTTGGGAGGGACACAAGACTGGGCCTTGGCTGGCCGCAGTGGCTCATGCCTATAATCCCCAGCACTTTGGGAGGCCAAGGTGAGAGGATTACCTAAGCCCACAGGTTTGAGACCAGCCTGGGCAACTTGGCAAGACCTCATCTCTACAATAAATCAAGAAAAATTAGCCAGGTGTGGTGGCACATGCCTG